CAATGGTGGTAGCCTTATAATTATAAGTTCTTGACTTTTGCTACTTTCCTTTCAGCCATGTGTTTTATTTTCTTGTGGGTTTCATGTGTTTGATGAAATAAATTTCAGTTCAGTTCAGTTCAGTTCAGGTTCTTTTAAAACATAATATCTCAAGAAAATTGATAAATTTGTCTCACTAATTCATCAAACTTGTTATTTAACCAAACTGTTCGCTAGTCGCTACTATATTTTGTTTTTCATTTTGTTTTAAATAAAATCGTATATAAAGATATTCAGCCATTGCTGTACTTAAACCAATTGGTGGCCATTCAATATCTTCAAATAACAACGGTATTATAGGGCTTTTAAGTTGTATAGCTAAGTTAACTTCAGGACAACACATTTCTGACGAAGAATATTTTCTATTTCTACAGCAGTCGACCAAATCTGTTGTACGCAGACCAAATTCAAAATTACGCAATAATTCATAGCTGAGAAAATAGAAAAAGTGGTGATAAGAATCTAACTTGATTTATCCCTTCGTTTTGTTCATGCTGCTGAAGTGCGGTAACAGTAGCTTGACCGTTTAACGGAGATCCAATTTCAATCTGTCGAGAAGAAGTCGAGACCTCTTGAGAAGCAAGAATGACCCGAATAACAGCGTTTGAATTTAAACATAAATTATTTAAATTATCGACCAGATCAAGAATACAATTATGTGATGTTAACTCGATCGGATGATTAATTTGAAATTTCTGTTCAATTTTTTCTGTAAAACTTCGAACAGTAATAAATGAATTGTCGGAAACGATACGATATGTAGTTTCATTACATTCAACTAATAGGACTAGTTTATTCGTCATCCTTTTAAAGGTCAATAGTAGAAAAAAGAGTTGAAAAATGAACACGTGAAGGATTCTTGTATGTTACTCTCGAACAAAAACCTTTACAATTGAACTATTGTTACCTTTTTTTCTTTTTCTCTTCCTGTTGTTCTGTTCGGTTTTGCATCTTTTACAGATAAAATTAAATTTCAGGGAAGAGTAGTTACAAAATGAAAAACTGAGATAAGTTAGTTTCTCGGCTAGAATCAGAGTATTATGAGCACATAGAAGACTGTTAGGATGTAAATCTAGGAGTTTATACAGCTCGATTTTCACATCTTTTTGATTTTTACTTAAATGTCCTGAAGATGGCAGGAGTTGTGGCGTATGACACATAGCGTCACGTAAAACAGTCAGATTCGTTTTATTCGTCATGCTGCATCAATAAATTCTTACAATCGCTAAAATCAACTCGTATAAACTGATTAGCTCAATAAAACGAATGTTTTTGTTTACGGACTTTGCTATTCGACTAACAAGTCCAGACCAACGTAGTCTGTTTCTTCTCATAATATTGCTAACGGTGGTTGTTCCGTCAAGTCTAGGACTTTTCCATTGGACATCTTATTACCTAAGTTAGTTCATATGATACACTAAAACAACGGTAGTTTTGCTTTCCATATCAAAGATAGTTCGTGTTCAATCTAAAGTATCTTCACGAGTATCATATATACAGTTGAGATAAGTTGCGATAACAGAAAGCGAAGGTATAAGCTATACTTCGACTCTCGTCGTTTTATTCTTTATAATGAAAATACAAAAAAAATCAATAATATTTTATTTGTAATTAAAGACTGAAACGAAATAGATTCTATGTCACGTTCATGCCCGATGCGAGTCAATTGACTATAAATAAAGTTGTATCTACTAAAATAACATACCAAGTAAACCTTGATTATCGCTATTACGAGCAAAATACACATAATTCTAGGCGATAACGGATATTACATCATTAATTTAGAACAAACGACATGGACTAAGATTACTTACAACAAGAAATAGCGTTGCTAACGCAACAGCTTTCATTTGTACAGACAAATTTTGTGGAACTATAAATTAGAACCGACAAATTACTTCAAAGAGAAAACAAGTCCTTGTTGAACTTACACTGAATTGTATAGGCCTCAGCTCCAGTAAATGCTTCATTGACAAACCCTGCATATTCTTTGAAGATTGCACCAACTTCAGTCTTGCCGTCATTGGCGAATAGCTATGCCAAACAACGGTAGTATGACGATTGAATTATACCGAGGAGTTAAAGGTGTAGGAATAGTATTTTTTGGTTACGTAACGGTGTCAGATAACTTACCTTGTTGCCGTTTTCTCCTTACAAGCCTTTAGTGAATAGCTTTGATATCCTGTCAAATCTTAGCACATCCTTACAGTAATACTGCGATTGATTTATAAACAGAGAAGAAAAAAATTTGATTACTTTCTAAACAGATTTGAAGTTGTACCCTTAGTGTCAAAAAATATTTCGCTTATACTTGTTTAAAGTACGTAACTTAAAATAATCTGCACAGTACAATGTGCCTGCTAATCTCATCTTCACAGTTCTGATCAATAATTTAACATTTGAGATCGAATAAGAGCTTAAAAAGAATATTGATTTTGAGCAATGAATCAATCGTTCAGTTCATTTAGTACAAATTGATATCTTTTCCGTTTAGACGTTATGTGATCCTTTTTACGACCTGTCTTAACTTACTGTGAATTTATTTTCGCAACAACAACAACAGACACCTTGACATATGCAGAAAGGGCCAACCGCTTTAAGTACAGCTTCACCCGCTGCATCCCTCAACGTATAATGACCACGCAGAAAACTGCATCTAAAGAGAGGCGCACAAGAATCATTTCTCTAAAGTGTTAACTCAAGACTGTAGAGATTTTTATTAAATTTTCCCGATGACTCAGAAATTTTTTTATATTTATCAGGATAAAATCAGACTTACTCTTGTGTTACACTCCCAACAATCATACCAGGTGGTGATTCAACGAAAACTTCATGTGCACAACAACCAGCACCTGCGCACCAACAACAACCAGCACAACATTTGAATCTACGATGAATACGAATGATTTCCTGAAAGTTTCAAAACGACGGAGGATGAATAATTTCATAGTGGAAAACTCGAGAAAATGAATGTTCAGGAGGAAAGCTTTGATGCAAGAGAAAAATGATTTTTAACTGGTCTTCGGGAGCGTTTGGATTTACCGATTTGTTGTCTGTAGAAGACGTTTAATTCAGACTAAGTTAAAAGCAACGCAAGAAATACAAGTTTTAGAAAATAACTAACTTGATTTGTTATATCACATATATGCATTATAAATCCTCGTCTATTTCCACAACACCATCGATGACATGTGTCCGATTCTATTCATGCAGATATATCATGAAAGAGAGTTTTCAGAATTGACATTTTTGAATTAAAGTCACCTTCAAATGCAAAATAAACAAATTGTCCTTGTTTGTTTGTTACTTGAAATTTTTGCGCGCTAGCCAGACCCGTAAGCACTAGTGGATAAAGTCATATGATATGTCATTTACCTTTTTGTAATATAATATTTACTTTGTGTTATACTAGGATTCTGTTTCAAAGCTAAATAATCAACATCAACTAAATAACTTAAACCTGGTGGGATACCAGGTTGAACATGTTGAGGCTGAGTCACCCATTGCACAGCTGATGTCGATTGATGAGGAGGCGTAGGGTTACCGGGCTGCTGAAATATGGGTTGTTGTTGAATAGGGACTTGTTTTAATGGTGTTTGTTGATCGTTGGGTGTAAATTGATAATTGTATGGCGGTGGAGGCTGATATTGTTGCATATCAGACATCTTCAGTTGTGATTTTCTTCTAGGAGAAAAGGTGAATATAACTTTTGCGCAATTCACAGAGGAAAAAATGATTAGATAGCGAAGAACTGAAGCACGCTAGAAACCGAAGGAGATAGATCAGGTCAGAACAGATAAAAACTGATTTCAAGTTGCTTTTTATGCTAAAGATGTACACGGGTATGGTTATCGTGTCCGTACTTGCCAACGTTTTACTCGTATTCGATCCTTACTCAAAAACTCAAAAGTGCAAAGAAACAACACATATAGGCCATGAGAAATGTAGCATTGAATTTTTATATTATCATCCTATTATATAATCTCACATCGACGTTTTCGGTCGGCAATAAAAGAAAGAATAAGATAGTACAGCTGTCTATTACAAACCAACACTGTCAAAATGCATTCCTATAAAACATAAGTATTGAGTAGACTAACCCTAATTAAACTACTCGTGACTAACCCAATATATCCCTAACTTGCGATTCAGCTTTACAAAGTTCTTCGTCAATTTGTGATACTAGTATCGATTCCGATTCACAGCGTATTCTCATTTTATCTTTAATTAATCTTTTATCGGTCACAGCACATGTATGCACAACTCGCAATTGAACACTGTTGTTGAAAGTTGAAGCTGTTCCCACAGTAATCCTGATCGGGATATACATCCAATCGAGATGTAAAATACAAAACTTCGTCATAAAAACGATTAAGTGAAAAATGACCTCGCTGTAGGAAAATTTTACGTCACTGTTAAAAGTAGCTCGAAAAACTACATCGAACTCTGTTGTGTTTGATCAAAAGTGTATCAAGCACCTAGCAACCATTTTAGTCGAATTTATATTCGGATCGGGTAATAGGCGGCTAACCTTTTATTGCTCAGAATGGGATATACTCTTGATCTAATCGCTTTCCACACTGACCGTCTCTTTCTATTTCTGCCGTTTCGATGCACCCATATATTGAAATACACATTTCTTTTCTCATGCGTCGGCAATATATAAGTATATGTGCTTTATATTTAACAGGAAATTTTCCTACTATTGATTCTTGTAGATAAACTGCCTTATCTTTTTTGTAAGTGAATCATGACTTGCTGTATTTTTTAAAACGTATAACAGTCGTAAACCCAGCATTTCTGGAGTAGCTGGTGAACCTCATCATTCTAGGTGTTGCGGCATTTATACTCAATCTGTCTGGCAGGGCAACACCCCTTTCAAACTAATTAGATTTTGTGCAAAAACATGTTAATCTAAAAGTAAAAAACCATATTAAACAATAAAAAGTTTTTAACCGTAATTCTTCGTTTTTATGTCACCTGTGGATAAATGAAATACGAGATATAATCATAGATTAGCATCGCCACCACCTATCATATCAAACTTTGACCGAATATTTTCAGAGAACCAACCCTCGACTTTTACATATTCGGAATCAGCACGACGAGTTACTTTGTAAGCGCAAAAATCTCGTCGGGGTCCCAACATTTTTTGAAGTCGGTGGTTCCACTGTAGGTTCTCACACTATATTACACTGTACTCAACAGTAGCCATTAAACACACATTGTTTATTTTTCTTTTCTTTGATCTTACTTTTCTTGCGCCTCATATATTTTTCGTATGTGCTAGTATATATGTATGTCTTTTATTTTTCTTGAAAAGTTAAACATGAACAGAAAAAAATTCTAAGCTTTTATCGAGGTGTTCATTTTCCTCTATCTTCAAAATGTGTTCGAACAAAATTTACACCAGTTCAATTCTTCTACTAAAGCCAGTTCCTTTCGTATGATATTACCTAGCCGCCGAACATGAACTTTATGTTCTAATAGCCCTGTTTTTTTATACTTTTGAAGCACTTTTCTTTTTCGCGTATTAAACCACAAATAAACGCCAGGATGGCTCTACGGTATTTTATTAAATTTTTCGAGGAAGAAGCCGTATCATACGCGTGAGAAATAGCCCTAGTCGCTATATTAGTTACTAATTCCGCATCGTCAGAGTAAGGTAAAAGATACAATTTGAAAGAGAGACTTAGAGACGATAGATAGTTCGTGCTTAAAAACGTCCTAGTCTTGTGCCTCATATATTTTTCGTGTGTGTTCGTATACATGTGTGTTTTTACAAGGAAAATATGCACTCTCTACTGTCATCGTAAATCGATGTACGGGGATTAACATGTGTAAAATCGTCCGAAAATAGTATTTTTTTCTTCCCTTATATTCAA